GGCTCGAATGTACAAGGGACTTTATTTCCCTCATTCTTCCTTCTTACAAGCTACTAAGGGCTCAAATGCATCATGGGCATGGAACAGTCTGTTAAAGGGTCGCGAGTTGATTCAGGCTGGTATTCGGTGGCAAGTACAATCTGGCCAGCAGATTCGTCTATGGGAGGATCCGTGGATTCCGTCCCTTAAAGGTTTCAAAATCCTTTCAGCAAAGCCCCCCACCTGCGATGTTCTGACGGTGGCAGACGTAATTGATCAGGTTCATAAGTCTTGGCATTTGGAACCACTGTTGCACTGTCTTTCTCCAGCCGAAGTTGCCGCCATATCAGTTATTCCTATTGCCATGGAAGGACGTGATGATTCGGTCATTTGGCACCACAACAAGTCCGGCCTCTACTCAGTTAAATCAGGATATGCTCTAGCCAGATCTCTTAGGGACCGGTCCTCGGATACCTCTCCCTCATCCTCTATATCCCTCGTCCATAACATGTGGAAGATTATTTGGAGATTAGAGACTCCACCCAAAATTCGGCACTTTTGGTGGAAGGCTTGTCAAAACCTCCTTGCAACCAAAGCTGGTCTTTTCAGGCGCAAATGTGGCACTTCAGCGGTCTGCCCAATCTGTCTCTCTGCAACTGAAACAGTGGAACATTTGTTGTTTGATTGCTCTTGGTCCAAAGCTGTGTGGTTTGGAAGTTCACTTAACCTTCGGATAGCCCTTGGCTCAATCCCTAATGTGTCTCAATGGACCAGTGATATCATTAGCCAAGCCTCCTCCCTCTCTGATGCCAAGGCCTCTCTCAGCAAAATTGCCACTGTGGGTTGGTTCATCTGGAAATCGAGGAACGAGTTCGTCTTCAATAATAACCCAGTGGATCCTTTGGCAACTCTCCATCGAATTGCTCACTCATGGACTGAATCGGCAGACCTCTTCAGCACTATCACCCCTCAAGAACATCGGCCTACTTCTCTGTCCTCTTCCCCTGTCTCAGGCTGGATACCAGCTAGCTTTGGTTCCTTCAAGATAAATTGCGATGCCTCTTTTTGCCAACGGAACTCCCGGCTGCCATTGCAGCAGTTGTTCGGGATTCTAATGGCCAACTAATTGATGGTAATGCCAGGACTGTTTCAGCCTCTTCAGCCTCCCAAGCTGAGGCTTGCGCTGTCCGCATGGCTTGCCTTATGGTTAAGGCCCATAACTTGTCCTTTGTGGAGATTGAGAGTGACAACCAAATGGTCATCAAGCTGTGTGTTTCAGAACAGGTACCTCCCTGGGAGTTGAGTGCCATTATTCTGGATATTCGCCACTTCGCTTCTGTCTATCATCTCTCATTTTCGTGGACTCACAGATCCAACAACCGGGTAGCACATTGGGTGGCCACATCCCAAGCCTCTCAGGTTCTTCCTGTCTCCTGGGCAGGGTTTCCACCAGATAGTCTCTTATCCTTATTATCTACTGATGTATCTCCTGCTAATGCAGCCTCTGTTGTTGGTTAATAAAATGTTTCGTGCCTTTCAGCTCAAAAAAAAAAAAGAAAAAAAATAAATCAGTAGTTTATGTATTATTAAGATGTCCAAATGGGAATCAAGATCCGCTTGCCCACAATGATTAATTAAAATTATACAAATCAAAATTTAGATCTTCAAGAATTAAGACGAGGTTTAAAAAGCTGTACTATGCAAATGGGCTTTAAACAAGTGATTAAATAAGTTGGAAAAAATTAGATATTGAAAAGCTAAAAGAATGACGCTTTTAAATTTTACCTTCTAATTACCAACTTTAAATTTAAAAAGTAAAAAATAAAAAACCATATCAACGAGCCGTGTATATATATATGTTCATCGGCTTTCAAAATAGTGGCCCTCAAAAACCTAATCGGGCCTTTATTAAAAAGTTATTTGTAATCAGTTGTTATAAAACTTTTGTAATAAATGATGAATATGGTCTACTTGATTGGCATGCAATTATATTAAACAAAAAATATACTTGCTAAAAACAATGAAATTTTATGAGAGAAAAGAAATTGGATACTGATGTGAATTCTTATAGATTTTTCAATGTACCAGTTGTAAAACTTTGACAACTTAGAATATATTGAGTAATATTCAAATAATCAAATGACAAACAATTATATGGACTTTTGAGAAGTGAGTAGTGTACCTAAATTGTGATCATCAGCAACTCTAATCACACTCTCTACTTTTCACTAGCTAAAGTATGAAAAAAGTACACTTTTTATTTTACCTTATTACTTTAGATATTATGTTATCCAACCACACTTTTTATTTTAGCTAATCATTCAAACTAACTTAATTAATTTTTAAAACAAAAAATATTAATTGCTGATATTTTACTAATATAAATTTGTAATAATAATAAATTTGCTCATATAAACATACAAAACCTGTAGAATAATGAGAGAAAAAATACAAAATTAATTATTCCGTAATTCATTAAATAGAATTGAAAGAACATATAAAATTACTACATACACATATACATATATAAAATATATAAAATCCCAAATCTAAGACATAAATATACAAAAATCCAAGATATATACATACATATTTTTTTAGAGAACCTCTGGGGCTCTTCAATTGTAGCCACCAAAAATGTAGGATGGTAAAGTAGCTAGTCCAATAGCCAGCCCATTAGAGCTCAAAATTAAAGTTTCATTGGCTAAAATGCCTAACAAGCCTTTTTTAACTATCCCTTAGAGATGCTCTTACAGTTTTGATTAAACAATATTTTAATAATTATGTAGACATTTTGTAATCCGACTCAACCACCATTTGGCCGACTTGACCTGCTCCATGCCTTCCCTCCAGTACCCCTACTCAGCTAGTCCTAACTCCAACCACGCTCATACCTTAAAATTGTCACATAATCCAATAATTGTGAGTATTTGCGAAAATCAAGATCTTTCGCTATGATTTTTTCTATCATAATCTTGTTATGTAACCGAATGGTCAAATTTAAAGTTGAAGTACAACTACTTCAAAATATTTAATATCATTTTGTTAAAAATTTAAATTGAGACAATTGGATTATTGAAAAACACAACAAAACTATGAGAGAAAAATCATGAGAGAGGATTCTTACTACAAAAAGATATGGAGATTTAGGGGATAAGATTCTCTGGTCATGGCTTGGTTGGCTTCTAATTACAATATTCTAGAAATGGCTAATGGAAATTATTGAACTCCAAAAGCAAGGGGGTGAAGTAGAATAATTAAGAAAAATTGATGTTGGTACAAGTTTTCAACAAATCCATAATTAACCTAATCATAGCCAAAGCTGACCTTACCATATATACATAAGTTATTAAATTTTGATACAGTAATGCTACAGAGCCCGAATATAGGGGCTCGAATTTGGCTCGAAATTAGGGGAAGAAGGAGGAGGAGGAGAAGGAGGAGAAGAACTCAACTGGAGGGGCCAACAAAATCGGGCGGAGGTGGAGGTGGAGGCGGAGGCAGAGGCGGATGCAGAGGCGGCGGCGGGCGGAGGCAGAGGTGGAGGCGGGGCTGTGATGCCGACGAGCGACGAGGGACGAGCTGCGAGATCGGCCGACGAGCTGGGATGCCGACGGGCTGCGATGCCGACGACGACCTGCGTTCTCGCTCTCGCCTCTGTGTTCTCTCTCTCTCGCCTCTGTTCAACTCAACGAAGAAGAAGAAAGAAAAGGAAGAAAAGAAAAGGAAGAAAAAAAAAAAAAAATCAAAACCCAAAACGACGTCGTTTTGAGTTTTGAGCCAAATTCGAGCCCCTAATTTCGGGCCCTCAAACATTATTCATTTTGATAATAAGATTATAATAATTGAGTTTGGATTAAAATAATAAATGGAGTATGAACCATACTCAATCATGCAATTTTTTTAAGGACTCTAAAAGGGTCCCTCACCAACTGTTCAACAAAATTATAGTGACATAATATGCATGGATCTCCATAAGGGGGCAGATGTTAACCTTTTAACTTTTAAGTTTAATTTGACAATTTAACGAGTTTAAAATTATATTCAAGTATCTTCAAGTCAAGTAGCAAATTGTTCGAGTTTAACTTGAAAAATACACAAGTTTAAAATTGAATTCAAGCTTGATTTACTCATATCGAATCAATCTCGTAAAAGTTTTTAATGAGTCGAACATAAATCAACCTCCAGTAGTTTAATTTGTTGTCGGCCAGGGATGGCGCAGCCGTAGGGGGAGAGGACAGGGAGAGGGAAGCAGAAGAAGCAGGAAATTTGTTTCTTTATTTTTTATTTTTTATTTTTTATTTTTTATTGGCCTCAAATAAAATGAAGTCTTTTTGCACTACTGCAGGTGAAGCCGCCTGCGATGGCTTTTGAATGGGCTCTCATAAAGTCAATGGCTAAGTGGCCAGGCATCCGCTGAATTCTTTATTCTATCCCTATTTTATTTATTCATAACAAACTGTCCACCATACCCCCTTTAATTGATATATTTAAAAAACACATAATGAAAATTCACCAAGCATCCACCTTCTTTTCAAGTCCTTCCCATGAGAATCTCCCCACAAAGTACTTAAGGAAGAACTTCAAACTACAAGGAGCAATGCCAAACAAACCTTACTGTTTGTATGTTTGACTACCTGCTATAAGCACTTTCAGATTGCAAAAAAAATAAAAAAAATAAAAAAGAAGAAAAAAACAAAGAGAGTTAAAAGCACTCCCTCTGCTAAACCAAATTCAATGGATTGGCATATCTTAAGATCTCTGGGAGGAACTCCCCTGTTCTATCTTGTGCTCTTCGGCATGCAACCAACTTATGAAAAACAATTAACAATAAAACACAAAGAAAATAATTAAGTTCTGTTTTTTTTTTTTCCTGATTTACCTCGATGTGCATTGAAGGATTCTGCAAACAATATCCGAAAACTGTCATTCATATGATATCCCTCGCTTTCAAAACCACATTACACAATTTGTTCAAAGTTGTAACTATAAAAGCAAAGCATAGAAGAAAAGCAAGCTCCTTAATTTAAAAACAGGAACACAAAAAACAGATTCTATTGCATTACCAGAACGAAATTTGAGGTACAACACTTTAGGGGGGAGAATACCACCAAACTTTGGCATAAAATAGAAATACTGCAGACTTACATTACAGCTACAAATAGCAACAGCAGCAGTTTCTTCTCCATGCTATCGTCTTTTAGATATACAGGAAAACCATATTTTAAATTAAAATTTAAAAAATAAAAAAGAAAAGGAAAATAAAGCATCAACACACCTGAGACATATTATTGATTGATGTCTTGCTAATATGCTTCTCTTTGCCATGGGCACAAAAGGCATTGTAAAAATGCATATATAAAGCCCAGTAATGATATATCTCCCCCATTTGAGATGTTTCAGGAGTTGCATTATTCTTGCTTTTTGCCTTTCATTTTTGTTTCTACGTCTCCACTGTACGGAGCAACATGATATGCATACTGCTGGAGAACCGAGAACACAACCATCTCCAAACACACCAAGACGTTCTGAATAGCTTCTTCGATGTGCTCTGCATCCAACCAAAAATGATGGGATTTGATGACACCCAACGCAACAAGAATGTCAAGCACTATCCCCTGCAAGTGGTAGAAATGACCGTTCGTGAAATAAAGCTCTATTTTCAATAACAAGTGGAGGAAAGAAAGATAAGGTTAAAGAAGGGGAAAAGAAAGCAAGAAATGTTTAAGGAAACTAGTGAAAGAAAAACAATAATAAAGATCCATCATGCATAATATAGAAAGTCCAGACAACAAACCCAAAAGATGAACATATTGATAATTACGAGTAGGATTTAGGTGTCAGGTGTGGCTAGGGGTCAGACCCATCAATCCTCTAATTGAAGGATATGCGGACTCAGGTAGAAATGATCATAATTTTTAAATTTTAATATATTTTGTGAGATAAAATAGTATTTTATGTAATACGGAGTGTCAAAAAATACACTTTACTCATTTTATAGCAATTATGCAACAAAAGAATACTCATAAAGACTTTTTTTTTTTATTGGCACCGGGGTGGACTAATCCCTAGTGGTGCACAGGCCCTTGGCAAGGAATTTCTAGAAGTGCACCACAGTTAATTCAAGGTTTTCCCCTAATCCGATGGCCCTAAAGAATTGTTTGCACCTAAGAGGTTTCGATCTCTGAACCTTGGAGGGAGTACACCCCCAAGACCCAAGACCCAAGACCCAAGGCCTTGCCACCAATCCAACCCTTTGGGGTTATTCATAAAGACAATGTTAAAAGCAGTTACATAACAAAATCAAATTGATGGAAATGCTAGCTTAGCACACATCTGATGGGAAGTGTCAAACGTATATCTCAATATCTTATTCAACTGTCAAAGTGTCTGACTTAGGTACTTGATTTGTTTTGAAGAGTCCATTTAACATAGGTGATTGACAATATCGTTCATCAAAATATTGTGTTTAGAAAACTGAGAACATGTCACAACGTCAATTATGCAAATGAAAATAATCACAATCAACTTCTTAACTAAACATTGTCTTTAGAGAAAACCTTGGAGGGTTTTCAGTTCCGCATCTGAAGAAGCACAACTTACCAGGTTAACTGGAACTCTACAGATATGGGAAATGACTGATAAACTTGAGCGCCTAAACTAAGAAGTTCCACTCTTAAAAAGAAGACCAGCATGATGAGAGTTGACCGCTTCAAATACAAATTTAACCTACTGCATGTATGTTTACATATTTAATTTAACAACAAAATTCAATCACATACATCCCATATGCATTAAGGCGTAAAAATACACAAGCATTGCTGGTCCCAAGTTCATTGGTATCCTCTGAATGACATTTTAGGATTAAAATGGCATTGTGACTATATGCCTAAAGACCACCCATCTCTTAGTCTTAGATACCTCCAACTGCTCTTTGTTTGAAGTCTACTCTTTGGGAAATTTGGGTAATTAAAGGATAGGTGGCATCGGTGGAAATTTAAAAGAAGGAAATTTCTAATTTACCTTTCTTAAAGCTAAGTGATGAAGGAGACTCCCTCCACACTGGAACTTTCATGGTGACAGGGTCATACTGAATATAGGATAATGGGGTAGCTCGTGTGATGATTGGAAGTGATTGTACAAATAACATAATGAATGATAGGGGTGCAAATGAGCCAAGTTGTTCAAGAACTCAGCTCAGTGAAGGCTCAACTTTGCTCAGTTTTACATAACAAGAGCCCAAGCCAAATTTTTAGACTCGTTTAAATAAATGAGCCGAACTCAAGCTAGAAAAAGCTTGGCCCGTAAGGCTCAACTCGTCTATTATTTATTTAAATAACAGGATACATATATTATTTTATGTATTAAATAATAATGTGTCATATATGTATATTTAATATAGAATAATATTTAACAAGCCAACCGAACATGATTACTGAGCCAAACTTTTTCTTTATTATCGAGCTTTGAGCCAAGTTTGAGCTTGATTTTTGAGCACTATAGACGAACAAGCTTTGCTCTGCTCATTTGTAGCCCTAATGACTAAGTAAAAGACTTTCTCCCTATGGCATTTCCATCACCTTTGCTTAGAAGCTTCTAACTTAGATCTTGATATTGTACATTCTTTCCAGTCTATTTTCAAATTGGATGATGGGGGTGCTTTTACGATGGGTGAAATGGGTTTTATTATCTTTGGAAATTTCAAAAGAGATTATCTGCATCTGCCTACCTGGTTCTTTTTTATGTCTTCATTTTTTTCTGAGCGTCAGACATTCTCCCTATGGAATTTCTTGTTGTTTTCCTTGGTTTCTAATAAAACCATACATTTAGATCCCTCAACTATTAAAATTGTTTCACTTTTACCCACTCCAGAAGGGGCTCTTTGTATGATTTTATATTGTTGATGGTTCTAAATGTACGGTTTTAAAATTGAGGGGGGTAATGGATTGTTCAATGGTAGTTGAAAGAGGTAAGTGTAATTAGCCAAATAAATTTTTGTTAATGATCACATAAAGTTACACAGAAACACATGGTGCCACATACATGTAAACAAAAACACCCTTCACCTAACATTTCGGCATTTAGGTACCATATCTTAAAGATGCTCAATTAGGATTTCTTCATTTTTAAGTGATCAAAGACTCACACAAACAATCAGTTTGCTTTGTTCAATGTCTGGAAGGGGCCCACCTCAAAGTAATTCATCAAGTAATTAAGAATAAACATAAATTTTTTAAGAATAAAATTGCTCCTTATAGATTCTTATCCTATTTCAGTACGGAACAGACAAAAAAAAACTTTTACCTGCCAAAAGCAAAAGAAAACAATTCCTTTGATGCACAGGAACTTTGGAAGTGGCTTGTGTGGTGCCAACTCTTTTGCAAAGACATGGTAAAATACCACCAGTGAATACAAAGCCAATGAAACTGAAACGTTGAGAATGATGGTGAATGTCCAGCTGACCCAACTGGGATATATATCAAGAACCTGTAATGTTATCATCAATGCAGAGCATACTGGGCGAATGACAACAAACTGCCATGTCCAGTACTTGAGAAGCTTCAGGGTGTGGTGGTTCAGATGGACAGTATGAGGCTGTAGTTTGCAGAACAACAAGTCAAATATATGCCTCATGAACAATAACCCAGTTGACAAAAACACTGAAACTGGACTTGTCCCATAACAGTGCGGACTGAAAAAGATTCACATATCTAAAAACCAAGAAAATTAAGTGCAAATCGAGTTCATTACAATCTTTCTTGTTGCTTTTTTTTTTTTTTGGGAAAACAAATTCAGTTATCAAAAGAAAACCAAAAGATATTCACAAGTTAACAACTCCGCCGGGGTTGTTAACAACTCCGCCGGTCCCAAGCCCGGGTTAAGGAGGAGGGTTGTGTGTTAGGTAGCCGACAGCCAACACGTAAAAAAGCCGCTCGGATCCCTTATGAAAATGAATCCTACTTTGAATCGTTTAAATACTAAGTCGTTCCCTTCAAGTGATGCGCTGTGCGTGCCTCTAGATGTTTCAAAAAGTGAGCAAGGGGTGTCACATCGACGCCTGGGTGCAGTGAAAAATAGACAAAGGTTCCTGCGTTTTTCTGTACGAACACGGATATTTTTTTTTTTTTTTTGGGAAAACAAATTCAGTTATCAAAAGAAAACCAAAAGATATTCACAAGCTATCTCTATTGCATATAATCTAACATATTTAACATAAAATATCAGAAAATCAGTTCAGATTTGACCACTTTTGAAATATTAAAACATCTGATCAATGATAGATGACAATTAACTGGCTAAACTGCATCTCTTTGGGACTTGCCAGTTCTGGTAGTAATATGGGAGGATATTGGCGAGGACTATTCCCGCAATATGTTTCAAATCTTGCTGCAATTATTTCACTCATAACAGAGCAAGAAATACCTTTTATTTTTTTTTGATAAATAAAAACAATTTGTTGACTAATAGCAAGAAATGCTATTATTGTTATTGATCCAATAATATTTTCATCATAGCAGCTTCCTCAAAAAGAGTTGGTATCAGGCAGAAACTGTATTGCTTTAATTAATGCCCGCCTTAGTTTCCACCCAACTCAATTTTAAGTTGTTCCTGACTGAAATTCATTATTTAATAAGAACTAGATGAAGAAACAAAATATTTAGATAATTCTTGCTATCCAGCTATAGGAAAAAGAAATGGATTATCCACCTGGAAAAGTGTCATTGGGAATGAATGGTGAATTTCACGCCCTTTGATTTCATCGGGCACTATGTTTTTGCTAATGGATATTTTCAAGTAACTGTACATCAGTAACAAGAACTTAGCAATCACCTGCAAGCAAAGGTGGAGAGAGACGGAGATAAGTTCAACTTCACTGACAAGCAACGAACCATAGTAGTCAAAATGCTATACCACTGAGCTACGGACCCCAGGAGAAAATACCAGAAAAACGAACAATAGAATTAAATCAAATCATGACTAACTAGTAGAAGGCACTCACAAAAGCTTCATAGCATTCCTTTATTGAGTCCAAATACAAGAAGAATGGTTTGCTTCCTCGGAAATCCACCAAACCCACAAATGAGACAATGGCATATATTGGAGCCATAAGGATGATGATGATTATGGCCTTTTGCTCCTTTGGGTTCTTCCAATAAAAGAGATGCTGCGACAGAAGCTGTATTGTGAAATGCATTGTAAGCATCACACAAATTGCAGATCCTAGAAGAGTAATTTGTCCACGGTTCATTGTAGTTATATCCATAATTGTTTAGAAGCGAGATTCAAGAACCCCAAAGCCCAATCTGCAAAAATAGGTGTTAAGCAACGGTTAGGATATCAACTTGAGTTATGTCATGAGTAAAGTTTCTATTCTAAATTGAATAGCTCATACAAGGTTTTCTCAGAGTACTGACGCTTCATATTTTTTTATTTTTTTTTTTTAGAAAGCCAACAAGAAGTTTTATTAAAGAAGAAAGAGAGGAGGACAAGAAGTCCTCATACAATGAACAAGTACCCAATCAAAATAAAAACATCTAACAAAAAAAGACAGAGAAAACAAGAAAATCCAAACACTAGGGGTTGCAAATAGCAAACCAATCCCTAGAAATCAAGAAAAGTGAAACTCCTTTAAACGGAGGAGACACAAAAGCCCAAAATGAAGCCAGAAAACAGCCCTATCCCAACTTTTTTTTCTTTTTTCTTTTCATCGAGGAATACATGTAACTCAACTTTTTCTTTTTTCTTTCTTTCTTCTTCTTTTTTTTTTTTTTTTTTTTTTTTTTTTTTTTTTTTTTTTTTTTTTTTTTTTTGTGTGCGCGTGTGTATGTGGTGATAAGAACCTGGAGTACCATCTTCATTAATTTCGCATTTGGAAAGGATATCAAACAATTGCTACAACTGTTATCATGGTATTATTAATAGTCATGTCTTTCAGGGTGTTGCCATTCAGTCCCATGGTTAGAGAATCAACTTCTTGTTGTGCTTCCTAGCTGCGTTACGGTTTCAGTGGTACCTGATGTTTTGACATTTGTAGATTCTATGGAGAACTTGATTAGTTAGTTTTGTTTTGGGCCCTATATGGGTTTTGTTCTTTTTGTATTCTTCGCATCATCTTGATACTTTTCTTATAAAGTTTGATTATTTATCAACAAAAAGAAAAAAAAATAGTTGTGTTATGTTTCCCAAATTAAGACTGGCTGTAGACTCGAAATGTCATATGTTAATTTAATTTAAATCTCACAAAGGTAAGTCCACACATCACAAATGATACACAAATACACTCACAAATTATTTTTATTTTTTTTGGACATGTTAAATTTTGAAGTGTTTTAAACGTTTCAAAACATCTCCACGTTGATTGGGAAAAGAAGACTTATTGTGTTTATATGTACTAGCTATTATTGGTCCTTTTGATGGGTGAATCCTAATTTAGTATTTACAATAACACACATGCGATTCAGCTTGGCTGCAGAGTGGCACATGTATGTGAGGTACAAAAAGTTTACAATTTTTCAGATCTGTTTCACTTTTCTGCTTTGGTTTTCTATCTCTGTGCAGACTAGCTCTTCTCTTCATCTACTTCAACTATGCTCTTCTACTTCAATTTCATAGTTCAGTTAAGAGCTCAACCCAGCTCTGTTTTCACTTCAATGCAGCTCTGCTCTGCCATTATTCAAGTCCAGCTGATCACAAGATGGGCAAGGATTTTTATATCGTAACAGTTTCTACCTTCACTGCAATTTAACTCTAGATGAGGAATGGTTGTGAGCATCTAGGTTGGACCTTGGAGGCGTTGTAGACTTCTAGAATCTTCATGTAGGGAGGAATAGTGACTTTAGGACAGTGATAACACGTCTCTAAGGCTCACAACCAAATTTTTCTCACTGTTTCATGTTCTAGTTTACTATTTTTATCTTCTTATATGATGCATAGTGCTGTTATTTCATACATTGTTCTGCTTAGATTTTGATCATGCTATATTTCATTTGTACAGTAGCCATAAAATCTAAACCACTGTTACCTAAGAAGCATGGACACTTCTAAGAAGCTGTGTCCATGTCATGTCGGACTCGTGTCACATGCCGATACTCATTGAACACTTCCCGACATCTGTCGAACACACGTCCAAATGTATCATATTATGTTTTAAAATTTTTAGACCCATACACACTTCGAACACTTGGAGAACACACACATCCATCACTTAGACACACATGAAACACATTATAAGTTAAAACAAAATAACTTAAAGGATACAATCATAAAAGAAAAACTATATAGATTTTATACCTATTAATTCCTCTTCCTTTCAACTTTATAAATTAGTTTTAGGTTGCATTTCTATAATCTTTGAATGAAATATTCATATATATAATCATATATTTTGTACATGCTGTGTCGTGTTTTTGTGTCCGTACTTCTTAGACTGTTACACAAATATATATACACAATTACAATTTGTATTAAATTTTATTTGAGTGATAGTTGTAGTTTTTCTAATAGCAGTATTTATTGAATTGGACAGATTGTTTCCTTTCTAAGCTCTTGTTAATAAACTCAAACAGAAGTATGGCTAGGTTTGATGAAGCAAACAGTGTTAAACCTGAAAATTGTAGCAGTGAACACTTCCGTAGATGGCAAACTCAAATGCATTAAAGGAAAGAACATAGTTCAAGATTAAATTTGAGTCTGTGTTTAGTGAGCAAGGTCAAAGGACTAAGATGAAATGACTAAATAATGGAGATAATAATTCTACGTTGTTTCACAAGGCCACAAATAGAACGTGGGTATTTGTGGAGAGGGAAGACAAGACCCAATGATTGATGAATTTTTTCATTTTAATTGAGGTCATACTTGATTTGTGGAGTGAGTAGACCAGGGATTGACGGTTTGGGTTGGTTTCTCCATAGGTAACACCTACTAACAGTTGCTACGAAACATTTTGTCACATTATGATTGAATCATGTACAAATAGTGACAAAATGGTTTCTGTTCAGTTTTCATAGTCTTCCAATCTTATTAGTGAATACCAATACCCACTAAAATAGTAGCCTGAAATGCCCTCATTCTACAATATTGCCAGATTAGATTATCATATCAGTCTTGAATTCACTTGTCATGTGATAAAATACAACTATTTCAGTCCGGTTTCCAATTCATGGTTTAGATTATAAGTAACACCACTATCAACAAAACAGTAAAATGTAATTCAAAATAATAACATGTTCATAAGAATTCACTAAAGCAAAGCATAAATCCCTAGTCACTCACCACATACTATGCAGAAAAAAACAGGACAAAACCCAAAAACCACCATTACCCAGTTCAGGTACTGAACAATCGGATCAAAAGAGAGATAAGAGAAAAACAATAAATAAAATCAGATCTTCAATTCCATTCCAATTCACGGTTTTGATTGATTACCCAAGACCAACAATCAACAGAACTAAGCGTCTTTCTCAAGTACTATATAGCTTCCTTGGGTTTCTCAGCAACCAAACACAGAATACCCACATCAATTTAGGACTAAAAACGAAAAAACAAATTAAAAATAAAAATAAATCAGTAATTAGCATGCTAGAAGGTTTAATTGATCTAGATTCGAGACGAGAAAGCATCGTAAGGTGAGATTCTTACTGATTTTGAATGCGATCAGAGGAAAATCTGAAATGGGTATTGGTGAAACCAGGGAATGCAAAAAAGGGTCAACGATCGATTAAAGCAATTTTTGTGAGATTGCCGACTTTGGCTTTGTCGTAAATGGAAGAAGAGTAGTAGATATGTGTGATTGGATGTGTGATTGGAAATTAAAGGTCCATCCATGCCGGAGTCAGTGTTTATGAGCTCTAAGACAAAAAATCGTGTTATGCGTGGGGCCAATCTGACAACGACACGTTATGACTCACAGCCATAGTGTTTTTTTTAGGTACATCGGAAATAAACACAGCCATAGTTAAACCCCAATTTTTCTTGCACACCGTGGCCTTTTTGGGATTAGATTTTGATTTTTAAATTTTTTTTTTTGAGTTATATTAACGGTTTATTTTTTTATATATTTTTTATAAAAAAATTAAAAAGTTAACCTGCGTTTGGTTGTGTTTTGTAAATGTGATTTGAGAGTATGAGTTATATTTTGAGTTTGTGTGTTGTAAAATTATGATTTGAGTATAGAAAATTTGTTTTATAAAGAGTTTTGAAAATAGTTTTTGAAAAGATGTTTGATTTGAGTGGGAAATTATTGATGTGATATTTGATATGTGATACAAAAATTTATAACTCATAACTAAACATACAACTCAAAATTATTTCAAAGCACATTAAAAATTAAAAAAATTTCAGAAAATATTTTTCCCAATCGGAGGACATCCGGGTGGAAGTCCCTAAGGACGTTCAGGTGGAAGTCCCTAAGAACGTCCGGGCGGTCTTCCCTTGGGCAAAATTTTGCGACTGATGCACAGAGCTCTCTGCAGAGCTTGTGAAAATTGATTCCAAAACAACAATCAAACATCATACTCAAACGCACGTGTAGAAACACGTTTACAAATCACAACCAAGCAGAGCCTTAGTATTTAATCTAATTTTCAAAATAATTCTGTATACAATGTTATTATAAATTATTAAATGTTTTGATTCTGAATAATTTATCAAATATTTTATCAAATCATACAAACCTACGTATGTGTGGGTCTCGCACTCGTGTAAGAAGTTTTATAAGAAATTTGATAAATAACTATTATAAAGTTTTATAAGTGATTTTATAAAAATATTTAAATTGAACATAAATTCTTATAAGTTCGTAAAAATTTACGTAATTTTATGATAAGATTGTGTACATTATACATTTCAAACTAGAGAATTTTTCTTTTTCAAACGGCTATGGTTGGCTCAATCGAATCATCTTATTAGACGTTTTTCTCGATCAAAGTATTTCCAATCATTCATTAAATTATTTTAATCTAATATGATGCACTCTAATTGTTTTCATCAATTCTGTTGGTTGTCCAGGGTAGAGGAAATTTTAATCAAAATCTGGACGTCCACCTGGATGTCCACCATTTACTAGGTCGTCTACCAACATTCAATTTCAAAATTTGATAAAAGGTTAAATAGTCCCTCAATTTGATGAAAAATCTGTTACTTTCTTCATTTGATATCATTTTTATGACAGGATTGGAGCACTGTTTTTACCAAATTTTCATCAAATTTAAATTTGATGAAAGACATGAGTAAACATTAGAGATAACTTCATGAATCTCATTTTAATTGTCTGATTCACTTATTTTTTAGGTTAATTTGTTTATATTATTCATACAAAAAAATCACATTAACTCGATATATGTAGTCATATAATTTTAGTGTACTTATTTTTTTAAAAATGATTGATATGAATAATTTTGAAAATAAATTATATATATTTTTAAATATAAATGTAATAAAATTCTGTTTATATATATATATATATATATATTTTAATTTGTTCTGTTTTTAATGTTCTGTAAATTCGTTATTGTCAGAAGACACCACCAATACAAAATAATCTAAAAAAATAAACAGATGAAATGATTGAAACGAGAAAGCAATAAGCCACAAGAGCCCAAACAAGACAGTCTAGTGAGCCATTCCCTTTACAAATTGAAACCATGATTCGATTACTTTGAGGCCAAGATTGGATTAGAGCAAAATTGTTAAAGGTGGGATTGTTCAATTACTTTGAAGCTAAGTTTGGATTAGAGCAAAATTGTTAAAATTGGGATCTTAGCCTTCATTTGGCATATTACAAAATGAGGCTTTTTGACTAAAATAGTCACAAAAAGACAAAATAGACTTTTTAACCCAGTAAGACAAAATATCACATCCAACTCATAACCATTTCATTTTTTCTCTCATAAAAGCCAAAAGAGTCAAAAAGTCTATCTCAAACAAAACTTTTTAGCCCTAGGCTAAAAAAATCAAAAAACCAATCCACATCCTAAACGAACCCTTAGATGGGAATTTTTTTTCTTTTTAGAACCAAAAAAAAAATAGGCAATATATTAAAAGAAAAAAAAAAGATTATAAAAACAACAAAAGACAAAAACATAATACAAATTACAATAAGCCTCAAAAAACAATTGCGGTTTGAGAAGACCAGATCTACTTGCAAATGTGATCTAGGTTCCAACCTAAGGATGAAATGTCTACCTCAAGCATAAAACCACTGGCGCCACCGTCACCAAAGACGTCGTTTGCCACCGTCGCTGCTCGAAGTCCACCATTGTCATCGTAACACCAGAAGGTTGAAGCTTAAGAAACCTACAACTGCAAACAAACCATTGGGAATAAACCAAAAATCTATGTAGAAATTCAAAGGAATATCACAAAACCCCTATTCCTAACATAAGAAGTCCAAATATACACTTTAGAAGTGTAAAGGAAGTTGCCGAAAGGTGATTTCCAATTGTGCTCTGAGAACCTTATGTAATAACCCACATTCATGTCTTAGTCATGTTCATGTGCATTTGCATGATTTTGTCTTGTTAAGCTTGCATTTGTAGACTTTGACTTGTTTTGTCTAAGTAAAGATCCCTGTCTTGTTTTGTGCTTATGTGACTTGCCTAAGTGTTGATTGCATACTTTGTTTCCTTCCTTGCTATCTCAAGCCTAGGTCATGTTAATCCTAGGTCATGTCAAGGCGAGGTCATCTTAAGCCTAGGTCACACCTTTGAACCTCTTACACCTAGGACCATCTTGGAACCACTTTGGTTGACCTTCACTTTCACCTTCACCCTGGCATATTGGCCGAGATGTCATCATCTAGGCCGAGGTATGCATCACCTAGGCCGAGATGTGTATCATCTAGGCCGAGATGTTATCATCTAGGCATCTTAGATCTTTGATCCTTGCACCTAGTGATCTTGTTCCTGGACTAGTATGACCTAGACCGAGGTGTGGCACAGCTAGGTCAAGTGTTATTCTTCACAGTTGAGATCATTGAGACCTTACTTGTCGAATCCTTTGTCCTAACCTGAGATCATTACCTGCTGGAGTGCCTATGTCACCTTGCTTGTTGTATACACTTTGTCATGCTCTTGTCTTGTCATTCAATCACCTTTTTGAGGAAACCCAATCCGGTAGTGCCACGTGTCCCAACAGAGGGTTAAGTCAGCCAACAGAGAGAGAAAACATATCATTTGTCATATCTTTGCCTTTGAAGAGAGAGAAGCTCTAGGAAAGAGAAAGAAGTTCTTAGAGGGAGAGAGCTAGATTCCAAGTTTGATCTTCACACCTTGAACCGTTAGATCCGTGTTTTGAGGTTAGATTCTTGATCTACTCTTGTTATTCTTTTTGTTGATCCGATCACACTACATGATCTAGAATGATTCATGAGCCGTGCATTGATTTAAAGTTTGTTTTAGAAAGAGAAAGTGATGTTCATGTGTTCTTGAAGAAAAATCATGTTTTGATCCGAATGCTTGTATCAAGATCCATGTTTTTGTGTTGGTTTTCATAAGATCTTCAAGTATGGGTACCCAGGTCCATGTTTTCGAACTCATCTCATGAAATCTCAGGTTTTGAATAAAGAAGTTATGATTTTTTTAGCATTCATGTTCCTTATGTTCTCGTCCTTCATGTTCTTCACGTCCTTCAAGGAAGAAACCCAGATTTCCAGACTTCACCTTTCCCTAGGTGTGGTCACTGAGACCACTCTTGCCTAGATCTCACACCTAGGCCAAGCATCGTATCTCACCTTGGCCTACCTTGCATGATCACTTGCACCTTAGCCTATCTTGCATGCACACCTACGCTAACCACTGCACACCTAGGCCGACATGGTACACCCTTGCCGACACTTTGTAACACCTCGGTAGGCAGCTGCATACCGAAGCCTAAGTAACCACACTTCGGCCAAGAGGTGTGGGACCTCGGCCAAGACCTCCTGAGTTCAGCCAGCTAGGTCATTTTTGCTTAGATCATTTCTGTACATCCATTCCAAGACCTGGTTGGTACCCAGCATGTTTTCCCTAGATGAAAAACAGTGATTTAACTCCCAGCATGTTTTACTTTGTCTTGACTTGGTTTTGGAAAGAAAAGCCGGGATCATTTTTATTCATGTAAAGCTTGTTTTAAGGATGCATTACATAACCATCTTTGAGTATTCCTTCTTGTCTTCTTGAAGTGCATTCAGTAGACTTTATTATGTATTTGTAGGTTTTGGATCCTTACCTTAATCCCTACACCCGAAGAGCTACGTGAGTGGTATTTTTAATAAAGCTATGTTATAAAGTTTTGATAAAGCTTTGCTTCGTTTTGGAAAAGTATTTGTTAAAGTATGAATGATTATCCCTAATTTTGTATCAAGTGTTATCTTGTTTTGATGACATTCTTAGAAAGTCCTTTCATGCTAGGGGACTATAAGCCCATGTAGCACCATGTTTGAGAGATCTCTGCCATCGACGGTCTTGTATGGATGGCCCCACCGATGGCCTTGTGCGGGTGGATTTGTCTAATCGATTCCAGGTCGATTATTCCCTTATTTTGTCCGGAATGTCATCCCCTATGTATTATGTAGATGTTATTAAACATCCCAAGAAGATTTGAGAGATTTGATTGATGAACTCGATTCATCCCATGTTTTGTTACAAGCTATGATATATATTGTTTTGATAAAGATCTCGGGTATCATTCATTCAAACCTTTATTAATTATATCATTCATTGAGTATCCAAGCTCACCCTCCCCTTTAAATATATGTAGGTGGCGAGCAAGAAGGTGGTGACGCCTAAGATGTTATGTGCAAAATGTTTTGATTCATGTTTTGTATCATCTTGAAGATTATGTTT